GACACCGCGGCCCTCCAGCACCTCCACTGCTGCTTCTTGTCCAGCTATGCTGGTGGTTAGTACCACCTTCCGCACACTCGCTTTCTTGTGTTTTGCCCACTCCACGGGCAGGGCACTCAGATCGTTCGCCAACACGATCCGAACTACCTCGTCCTGCAGGAGTCCGGCAGTCTGCAGGGCCGCCACCGTTTGCAAGCCCTCTCCCTTCACGTTGAAATCGACCACAATCGCGTCGATCATCTCCAAAGCCTTCCCCCCGTCCCCGAGCTGGACTGTAGCGGGCGCCGGGCGGACAAACTCCTGGCGGGAGTAGGTCAAGGGGAGGAAACCCAGGGGGGTCCCATGCTGTACCCGGTGCACGAAAGGCCGGTTCAACGCCTGACATTTCCCCTCCTCACAGCCCACCACCACCTCCACCCCGTTGTCCGCCAGCCGGGCCAGGCCCTTGCCGCCAACGAGGGGGAAGGGATCGACCATGCCCGCCACCACTTTCTTGATCCCGGCCTCCAACAATGCGTCAACGCATGGCGGGGTCTTTCCGTGATGGTTGCACGGCTCCAATGTCACGTAGACCGTTCCCCCCCTGGCCCTGTCGCCTGCCTCCTTGAGGGCGAAGACCTCCGCGTGGGGTTGTCCGGCTTTGGGATGGAAGCCTTCTCCCACTACCACCCCTTCTTGGTCAAGTATCACGCAACCGACCACGGGGTTGGGTCGTGTTTTTCCAAGAGCCTGAGCGGCCAGATGCAAAGCACGGCGCATGTGTTTGCGGTCCGATTCGGAGTACGAAGGTTCTTGTATCTCTGCCATTGACTCTTCGTCAACCTCCATTGTAAAGGCTACAGTCGGGTAGCGCGTGATATTCCGCAGTGCGATAGAAGATAATAAAGTTGAGTATATCAGTGCGTGAGTTGATATTCATTGCCATGCAAGAGCGTGAGTTCACGTGTTAGACAGGGTTAGGGCCGGTCAGTTGAACACATTTGTTCGTCATTAGTCCCCGAGGGACATCTGGTAAATCCCTTATGTTCGTGAGTAATCATGCCGGATTGCATTAGTACAACATCAAGACGAAAAAAGTCGACACATACATACTTGAGGCAGCCAAAGCTAAGAAAGGGCGGAGCGGGTGACAAATTCGGCCGCCCTGGAAGGGCCTCTCCGTGTACTTAATTGGCCCAACCCGCTGACACAGGGCGTGCGAGGACAAGATGAAAGACGTAGCTGCCGGAAGGAGGAATACCAGAGCAAAAATTGGCACGCGATTATCCACCAAAAATTGCTTCATACAGCCCAGTTGCAGCGCAGCCCCCTCAACAGCAGTGTGACGTGCGGTTCTGTGGTGGGCGTGGAGGTTTGTGAAATGTCGGGGCGATAGTTACGCAGCGAATGTTCAGCGTGTCGACGAACATATAGGTCGTCAGATATCAGCTCCTGCCTCACACTGCACTTTCCCGGCAGCTTTGTGTCGTGAACTCCTATTAGAATTACATGCCCTGCGGGCGACACCTAGCAAGTCCGGGTATTCTTTCTTGGTAGCTGGACCTCCAGCTGGAGAGAAGCTCAAGCTTCACTCAATGCTCATGTTCATACGGCGTCTCGCACCAACGATTCCTTCAGTGGCAAGCACGAGATCTACAGACACTCTGAGCGTCAAAGCATCAAGACGATGCTCTCATCCGCTTTCTAAGAGAAAATAAGTAGAACTTAAAAAAACCCGTAGAAATTAGATCGACCGACCATGACCAATGACAAGAGAAATGATATGCTTTCGCGCTCCTTCTGCTTACTTGGATCTTCCCTTCTCTCTGAAGTGAGCGGTGATACTGATGCTATTATGCACGTATTATGTCGAACAATATTCTAATTTTCGTGCCGGAATAAATTTTCTTACCCGCGATCCATCTCGTCTTTGACCGCTCGGCTTCAACCAGTTTTCCCATTTGGCTCACGTAGGACACAACCAAAGCTTCTCTTCCCTTTCTCTTGGAAGTATGCTGTCATTAAATCTTATGATGTAGGGGGCCCGTTCTGCACACAGCTGTCCGCCATTGTCCGTCTTCTGACTGACGCTCGCCTTCTCTTCATAGATACATGCCTCTCGTCACTTCAATTTGAAATCTACACATCTTCCCAGTTGCCACTTTTCTTTTTGATCTCGTAATGTAAGGCACAGTGCGGGCATGTAGATAGGAAAACTAGAACTCTAGGGGCACTTCAACACACATACTGACACGCTTCTTTTGAAAGCTAACTTTTCCTTCCACAAATTCTGCCTCGTCGTCATCAATCTGTCCACAGCATGGACGAGGTCTTGCATCTAATCCCCCCTCCACTACGCTTAGGCCCCCTTGATGTGTTCCTCCCCGCTGTCTTCATCGTCACTGGTCCTTGGGGTCGTCGCAGTCCAGTCCTCCCCCTCCTCCCGTAGCCCGGCCATCATCTCCCCCTTCCCGTCCACTGCTTTCTCGCCCCCCACCCACCGATTCCCCCTGAAGTTGTTACCCATATCGTTGTGCCGACACCCCAGTGCCTTCATGATGGGCAGGACACGGAAGGCGGTCACTTGCCTCAAGTAAAAGGGTTGCCGGGTGACAAAATGGTGAATGATGTGGGTAGCTCCAAAGTTGAAGCAGAAAAGTTGAAACGGCCAGAGTAAGGGATGGTCCAAGATTTGAGTTTGGAAGAAAACGTCGCGCTCCGGGATGTCTCCGTAGTAGTGGCAGTAGGTGCTGATGATGACCAGGCACGACTGGCGGAGGACGTTGGGAAAGTTGACGGCCGCGTTGTACAAAAAGAGGGCAGGCAGGATCCGCTGAGAGAGAAAAGCGTGCAGAGGCACGGAGAGCACGCCTGCCTTGACCAGGGCCGCGTCCCCGCCCGAGGCGCAGATCAGGTGCACGAGCATCGCGGCGGTCGAGAGGACGATCACGGGGGAGTTGCTGAGGACCAGGTTGACCCGAGAGAACTCAGGATCGTCCCGGGCAATGTCGTTCGCCACCAGCAGGGTCCCCGCGGGGGTCAGTGTGACGAGCAGGCGTTTGGGCGACCACCACCGAAGGCCCAAGCCGATCAGGCGCTCCTCCACATCATTGACCTGCCCGCTGTACTGGTGGTGCCGGAGGTGGTAGTACTTGCGCCACCACGGAGACGCGTTCGACTTGATCAGCCAGATGCCCATGAACATCACGTGCTGTACCCACGGTTGCCGCTTGAAATACAGCTCGTGGATCAGGTCGTGTTCCATCTCATGCAAGAGGGAGATAGCCAAGGCATTCACGACCATCAACACAGGTAGGCTCAACCCTCCCGTCCACCACGCGTACGTGGCTACCCCCCAGACTACCCACGACCCCACGTAAATGGCTAGGCCCACAACGCTTTGCCAGTGCTCACCCAAGGGGAAGGGGTAAGCTGCACGGAGGCGTTTATCCTCGGCACGGATGGCATCTCGAATAGTCTTGACCTTGCCTGCTTCTTGACTAAGGTGAGAGATACCGGTGGGACTGGCGGATCGCTTCACCGAGCTGACGGTCGTCGCGCCTTTGCCTGTGCCGATGTGAGCGATCGAGCTGTTTGTGAGAGAGAGGCCTGCTATTTTCTGTTCACTTTTTACGCAATATGGCATGTGAGCCCTTATTAAAAACAGTGGTCAATGTATGAAGCCGCATAAGATGTGTGCAGACGACAGGGAGTGAAAACATGTCTTTCGCATCTTGCTGACGTGGACGTCTGTGTCGGAACATCATAGCCATGAAGTCTTGGAAATGTATGCCACAAACATGGGGAACAGTTTCACACTTCCGCAGGTCCATCCACTAAGTGGGATTCATCTCCTTTACGATAAAAGGAATGTGGAGATAAAACGAACATCCGTCTACAAGACACAAAAATCGAGTAGCAATTTGCTCCATACAGCGTCGGCTTACTCACGTGCGGGGTCCAGCAGCTTAGACTTCGTCGTCTTCTGCGACTCTGGTAGTTGGCGCTGTTTTAGCTCAGCATTTGGCGTCATGTGTCAGGCGAATTTTGTGCTCTTGATTGCAAGTGACTTTATGCACGGCTGTTTCTTAGTCTCTTGCTCGTTCCGCTCACTCACTCTTGCGAGAGCAGCAAAGGAGACAAGAGCAGGAACAACAAAGTTTGTGTTCCAAACGAGCCACAATCTATACGCACACAGAGTCTGTGGAATGAAGAATTGTTGAAGGGACGTTAAAGCATCCGTAGTGCATTGAGAAAAGTGGCGAGAAAGCAAATAGTGATTGGGCGTGTTTGAAAAATGAGAGGAGCTCGTGGCAGGAGCGGGCAAAATGGCACTACCACCGCCACACGGCTGTACTACAGAAAGATGCGGCCAGGACACAACGCATGCAAACACAGATCTATGGAAAGACATTTTGATTGCTGTTTCGCGCCTGTGTGCCAAAGATAGGCCCCCGACAGTCCAGTGTGTTCCTTGACACGGGTCCCCAGACGTTAAGGCAACGACGAATTTGTGCGCAGGTGCTCGCTAGGACTCTCGAGCGATGGGACTTCCCAACCGCAATATTACTGTGCGGAGCCCGCCATGGCCTCCGGGAGCATAGGAAGTTTCAAATTTTCCCTGAGTGCTACTAATTGCACTGGGTGAGCCTAGAAATGGAAAACAGCGACTGTCGCGCTGTTTTGTTGTTGCCAGACACGATTACTTTGCTTCCTCTTCCTTTAGCGGAAGCCTTACTCCGGGTAGCTTTTTTGGCGACGACTATATGGAAGGTCCAGTTTGCCCACATACAACGATTGAAAGCGACGTGAAGATAATCCTATAGGTAATCTAGGCGTCATTATGCATAGAGTGTGGTATTTATTTTTCTTGTTTATTCCATAACCCAATTCAACGTTCTCCATGAGATTTCTCGCTGCACACGGGAGAGCACGCAAACTTTTTGACGCTAAGCGGCCGGTCGACCGAAATTTGTGATCACTCCCACCATGGCATGTTGTTGAGTAAGATGTTCAGGTCCTTATATTCTCTGTTTTAATATTTTTTTCTTCAATAATGGTGGATTAATAGCTGTCCTTCCCAAAATTTCGAATTAGTACAGCAACTGACACAGTGCCAGCGCAAGGTCTGACAGAAACGCAGCGTAACGATATTCTGCAGGACAACCATGCAACCAATCATTTTACTAAGTTGTCATCCCTTTATCTCCACCATTGAAGCATATTTACGTCAGTTTCCGTTTGTTTTTTTTGTCCGACCTCTTCTTCCCATCTCATATCAATGAGGATTTGACCCAACTTCTCCCTCCCATTTTCACTCAAACCGGGCTTCCTTGGAAATGGGCAATTCAGCAGGTCCCTCAGTTTGCTCGGTGACCAATCTTTTCTTCGGACTCATCTTTTCCTCGCTCTGGGGCTCTAGATCATCTTTCTTTGCCTCCATCTTCCCAGCGGCCGCTGCTGAGAGACCAGCAGATGGTTCACGGGGAGAAGAAGAGGCGGTGGGGATCAGAGACTTGGTCTTTTTCTTCACCGCCATAACATTAACAGCCGCGGTGGTAGCAACCGAAGCCTGGCCTCCGTCCAAGGTGCGCGGTCCCATCTTTTCACTCTGACCCTTCAAGTGTGCGGCTCCGCCGCCACTCCCATTCCTGCTAATTCCTTTTGCTTCCCCATGAGCCGCAGGTGGCCCTAGCGAGGAGGCAAGTGGTTGCCCGAAACCAATCGTGGTCACCGGGCCCGGCGCCTTGGCAACAGAGCCCGCCGCCGACAGCTCTTGCCTCGTCGCTTCGATCGTCTCCCGCAGCTCCGCTAGAATCTCTTCGAATTCCTTCAAGTCCTCTGCCGGCGTCGACTTGGGCGGCGGAGGCGGAGACTTGACTGCGTCCTCGCCCTCTTTTCGCCTCTCCTCCGGAAAGCTCGACCCATCCTCTTCTCCATCCCCGACTTTTCCCGCCGTGGCGGCTGCCTTTCGGGCCTTCTCCACTAGGATTTCGAATACGCGTGCGCATTGAATATAGTGCTCCAGCGCCTTGGACTTGAAAGTCACGGCGTGCTCCTCTTCCACGGACGCGTATATGTACATCATGGCCAGCTGGTAGTGCAGATCGGCAATCACACGGCTATCTTCGTCACAGACCTTTGCATAAATCTCCAGACTCCGCAGGTAATCGTCCACGGCCTGTGTAAAGTTGCCGTTGGCTTTTTGCAAGTCACCCAAGCGCAAGTAGACTTCTCCCAGCTTCATGGGGTCCACCATGTCCTCGTGCTTGTGGTAGATCACACGGGACGCCTCCAGGTTCTCCCAAGCCACCTCCAAATCGTCTTGTACGTCTTCAGGGATGCCTACTTTCGTGATTTCCCCCCCCGTGTCCCCTTCCTCGTAAACAGTCTCCCCGATGGCCTTGCTAGACGCCGTGGCAGGTGCCTTTGTACAGGATTCACCCCCTGCCATTGCCACACCATTTTTACTGTTGTTAGCCACATTACTTGACGATGCGGCCGCCGCATCCGAGGTTGACCCATGACCTTCACATTCCTCCTCCGCCTCTTCCTCGCCTTCCTCCTCCTCTCCCACCTTCTCCTTCGCGGCAGTCATGGCAGCTCCAAACAAGTCAACGGACTCTTCCGCCTTACTAAGGAGGGCATCACCATATGCAAAATACACAGGAGCCGCGGCGAGAGACACATCATCCTCGCTGGCAGCAAGGGCAACGCAGGAGCCTAGGAACTCAAGCGCTTCGTCAAACTGTCCTCGTTTGCACAAAGCCACTCCTTGTTTATACCGAGGGTCTTCCAGCATGGCCGCCAATCTTTCTTGTGGAGTATCCTTTTTGTCACCGACAGCAGACGAAGCTGCGTGGGCGGTGGTGGAAGAGGAAGCCATTTGTTCCTATAGAAAAAGGAGGGAAAAAGAAACCACATAAGAGCGGTTGTAGCGGGGAGGAGGTAAAAACGCGACACGACCCGGCAAAGCACACGATCAACTCGGAAACGACGTGCACATTTCCCGCGAGGACAGCTACATCGCGCTAGAGCACGCGTGCCGCACAAATGGCTCACGCGGCGTGTGTATGCGGGGACTTTCGCTCGCTTTCGAGAGGGCAAGGGGGAAAGAGAGGAATAAGGCGGAAAACGAAAAGCGCGCACGGGATGGATGACGCGAGACACCCGACGCATTGCTTGCTCAATGAACCATGGTTCCACGTTTTCTGCCAGCGTCTGTGACTTTCGTGGGTCGCTGTCTGTGGTCATCAACGCGGTGAAGGTGGTCGATTTGACAAAATTGCGTGAAATTTAGTGATCACCCCTCCGTTTCCTTCATGCCCTTCCTTACCACAGGACAAATTTTCAACGCCCAATAATTTCACTTTCCATGAGCATCGAGGATCATCCCCGCCAGCAGCATAACAACCAACAACACCCGCAGCGTCAGGATCAATTGCACGATGCACAATCGCGTCCGCAGGGGCACCGTAGGGACCAGCAGGCGCACGCAAAGAAGGTTAGTGGTGTTCCTGGCGGGCATGCGACCTTGCCGATGAAGAAGAAAAAAGGACCTTCTAGAGTCCACAATCAAAGAGCGCCGGTCATTCAAGCGGAAGAGCATTCTCTTGGTGCTGATGTATCTGAAACCGCAGTCCCAACCCCCTCGGTGGCGGCCGCACTGAAGCCGAAGCAAAAACGTCAGCCTCCGCAATCGCAGCAACACTCCACGCAGCAATCAGAACCTCAACAGCAAGAAGGGGAAAAGAAGAAAGCGCATGCAACGGACAGTGCCTCTGGGCCACTCGTTTCGGGGGCTCGGGTGGTCGAAAAGGAGGAAAGCCCATTCGTACTGGTATTGACCAAAAGACGCGGGCCTTGAAGAAGAAGTTGGACAGGATTAAGGCACTCGAGGAGGCGCGGGACGACCAGAAAAAAGCTGCGATCCTGAATGAAGAGCAAATGGCCCTTGTGGCATCCAAAGAGGGCTTGCAGCGAAGCTTACATGAAACCGAGGGAGTTAAGGCTGCCCTGGTGGAGGTGGCCAAGGAGGAAGAGGTCAAGCTGGCTGCCCGCCACGTGGAAGAGGAGAAGAAAATCGCCCTTCGTAAGACTCAGCATCTGCAGCAAGAGCTTAAGCTCCAACAGCTGCAACAGCAGGAGGCCAAGCTTCAGCTAAAAGTGGTCGAGCAACAGAAGGAAATTGAGCGGCAAAAGGCAGATGTTCATGTCGCCAGAGAGGAGGCTGCCAGGGCCTCTGACGCGGCTGCCGCTGCCACCCCTCCTCTGCATTTGATCATGGAGCAAGTGAAGCGCCTCTTCCGAGTCATTCACGTGTATCGGTCCTGTCTTGAGATGAACACGCCTGCTAACCAGCTCCTGGGCCTCGACGTCTTCGCCAAAGTCTTGCTGGGGCAAGCCTCTCCTTCTGAGGCGTCCTTCGACGCCAAACTGGAGCACGCGGTCAAGTGGGCAGGCCACTATTTGATTGCCACGTCCCTTCCACCGGGCCCAGGCGCGACGGAGGCTGGACTCGTGGTGCAAGAGGAAGCTAAGCGGCTGGAATTTGCCCCCGGCATGACCGTGGGTGCGATGGAAGCGCATTTGAAGCACTTGCTGGGCCGCTTTTCCCAGCCGAAACCTGCGTCCGTGCCAGCGTCCCCCCCTTCCCCTGCATCTGGGCCTCCTGTTCCTGTCCAGGCGATGGCCGGCCTTTCCATTAAGGAGGAGAGTGGCAGCCCTAGGAGAAAGGAGGCGTCGTGGGAGTTGGTGGAGGCACCGAACCAGGAAGAGGTGCGGCAGCACCTAGCTTTGCAGGCGATTCTGCAAAAGCGTGAGCAGGATGAGGCGCTGGGGCCAGATGTCAAGAGGGAGGAGGGAGGCGGGGAGGGTGCGGATGGGAATTCCTCCCTGCCGCTAGGAAGGCTTGTCAATCCCACGGGAGACAAGGGACGCCCGGTAGAGGACGGCTTTCAGAAGCAGAACACACTCACCGGACCTGGTAAGCGGACGCAGCCGCGCACCTATCACAAGCCTTCCCGATCCCATGGTCCTCAATCGCGCAGAGCTATGCGCGGGGAGAATGCCGCCACAGTCAACGGTGGCACTGACACACTGGTAGATGCTGTCGCTGTCGCGGCCTCTGCGGAAAGCTCCATGGCAGGCGTGCAGACTCCGACAGCTGTGGGGCCTGTCGCTACGCGCAAGACGGACGCTGGGAGCCAGGTCTCGAAACAAAATGCCATTAAGAAGGAGGCAAAGGCTACAGGAAACGTAGAGGCCTACCCTGCTGGTTACGGAGGAAACGGGCCTCGGCGGGGTCCCCGAAGGACGGGGGGTCAAGGAGGAGGTCGGGGACAGGGCGGGATGAAGAAAGATGGGGGCGGAAATAAAAGAGAAGGCATTCCCTCGACACCGTACGTTCCGCACGCCCCACAGACCACCACTGGCTCGGGGAATCTCGGGCATTAGGGGGGGAAAGACCGATACGGTTGCCGGCCTGGATAGGATGTCGTACGATAATGTGCAAAATCGAAGCGCGACAAGGCGATGGCAGATAAAATGCTGGGGATCACACCGGACGGGATCGCAGGTGTGGCGGTGAGGCAACGACGGGGGTTGAAAACCGGCGAAAAGAAAGCAACATGCAAAGTTACATCATGCACAATTAGTAAAGGAGCGAGATGAGAGGAAGATCGAACCCCATAGTGTTTTTCTTGAGACGGAGGATGCTGCGGAAGAACTCATCAGCAGGGTCGGCTCTGTGATTGCAGAGACCCTGGAGAAGAGTTCGCGTCCACTTGTCACTTCCGGCACCCACCTACCTCTCCATAAGACAATTGCATATGAGGAAGGGGGGGAAAAGGACGTGGCATTTTTAGGTCCACTTGCTAGGGACGGCCGTGGTAACGAGTAGGCCTTGACCAACGAGCGAAGAGTAAAGCAAAATAAAACACGCGCGTCTAGATCCTCGCGACGGGCTTGTTGACTCGACGTTCAGTCTCATGGATTTGTTGCCTTTGCCTTGTAATTTGACTTGACGGTCATCGGACCTATCGAAATCAAACCAAAGCCGCAGACTGTGGTGACGCTACGGCGGAGGAGTACGGAGAGGGCATTGGGGGGGGAGAAAGTATTTGTGTCGCCACTGGGATACTTTCATCCCTTCTCCCTAGTCCTGGTCGACCTAAACCACCCAATCCAATTCCAAGTTCCATCCTAGCCCGATGAGCATATTGCATTTTCAAATAAACTGAGCTTGACGAATCTTCCCCGGCTGCCTTCCATGCTTTCCATAAAGCCTTGCGGACTTGATTACGCTGACTTATTCCTCGATTCCACACGGCAATCGTAGCCAGCCTTATTAGCGGAAGGGATACATACAACACTGCGTACCATAGCAAGATCCGCCCGACTGCATACAATGCCGTGGATCCAGGCTCTGGGAAGAGAACCCACTGGTTACTCACCCAAACAGCCCCTACCAAATTGATGAAGCCTAGTGCACCGGCGCACTGGAGCAGATGGAGGGGTGCCCGGGAGAAGACGTACCGACCTTCCTCCAAATAGCCTTCGCCGTCCCACCAAGATGACGACGAGGACCCTGTGGACCGAGAGCACCCGTCGTCCTCGTCCTCGCTGAGAGTCTCTTGAATGCCCGCCTCCGCAGCATCTGTGGTCATGTCCACCCGGGTCATCTCCACCACCGCCTGACCCCCCTTCCCCCCTCCCTCTGGCGCCAGCAACGCCCGTGCCTCCATCTCGCCTTTGCCACCCTCCTCGACATCCTCCCTCAATGCCGTCGAGGAGAGCAGGGTGCTGTGCCGACCCTTGTCCCGCATGCCAGCAAAGTCGTAGATGTAGCCGCAGTCCCTCCGCGTCTCGCCGTCGATGCACCGGACCGGCTGCCCCCCAAACCGCGCGCAGACAGGGAACATGCTGCGATCCAGCCCATTAGGGTCCACGCCCCTCAACCACAGTGCGATCTCCTCCGGGAGGACGATGCCGCCGCGTTCGTGGATGAGTTTTGCCAGGGTTTGCCACTGCCGGCTTTGGCTGGGGCCCGGGGGCCCGTCGCCAAAGAGCAAAGAGAAGACCGACTCCACAAAGGTCATGTCCACGTCCACGTCCTGCCCGTCTCCCTCCCCACCGCCTTCTGTCCCCTCAAGTGGCGCGCGAGGAAGACGGTACAAGGAGGCAGAAGATGCTGTCCGTCGTCGGCTCCCGGGGGAAGGGTCCCCGCCCTCCCCCGCCTCCCGCGCCCGCCCTCCTTCCTCGTCCATCGCCCCCAAGACCCGACGTCGCCGCGTTTGCTGCTCTCTCCAACGCTGAGCCTGCATCTGCGGATCCCTTCCAAACAAAAAAGGGTTGTAATTCCACCACCACCACATGTAGTACATGTCTCGCCAATCCCCGCCACCCATCCCCCCCTCCGCCCAGATAGTGACGTCGGGGTCGGTGCATGACTC